ACTCCTGCACTACAAAATAACTCACTTGCACATGTCCATCAAGGTTTTTTAAACAGTATTTTCTCATGGAGTCACTATATGCAGCTTTAAGCTTTTGTAAGCTTGCCTTTTTAAACCTGGCCCACAAGGGGGCAGTATAAAGAGGAGTACAATGATGATGAATGATCTGGGTTTAAACAGTTTAAACTCTGTGTTCTTGGATTATTGTTGAATTCAGGTCAGCTAAAACACAAGAACAGCCAAACTGACCTAAATTGGGTTTAATCAAAAAGTGTCCTTATCAGCTGATGGTGCTTATGGGTCACATGAGGAGCACATGCAAATTAAACAAAAACTCTTCTATAGTCTGGCTGCCTTCCATGTATTTTGTTGGTTTGAAGCCTTTAATGCTGAGCAGCTGCAGGTGACAGTATGAACAAGGGAGGCTAAATGTCAGCAGCTCAGTAACCCTGACTTTGCGCTGATTAAAGACACATGTTAAAGACACATTCTTTGTGGTCATTATCCAGCTATTTTGACTCTGCAAACAGGAAAAGGGTAATAACTAAACTGTGAGCTTAAAGGTGGTAATGGTTGTCTTTATCAAAAAGAGCTCTATGTGTGCTGCACTACACTTTTCTGTGATAAGACAACATGCTGATCGGAAGTGGAACAAAATGAGACAAAAACAAAATGATCCAATCAGTAAACCAAAGTTATGTAACACAATTTATATCTCAGTATTTTTCAATTATGAATTATCTTAAAAGTCAATAAGTCATCACAGCTAACAAGGCCGCATTGGTTTGAAAAAAAAAGTTTTCAAGTAATTAAAAGACTTAAAGGTAATAATGTGGTGATATATTTAAAAGAAACATATTCAAAACAGTAAGATTGTGTACATAAACTCTGAAGTTAATGTATTTGTAATTTGTCTTCTTCAGGAAGCAGGAAGAGATATGTGTATGTTGAACAAACACAAGCCTGCGTGATATTCTTGTCCAGGCTAGAGTGGATCTTATCAGACCGATGTATCATCAACAGACATCTCAGCTCCACCAGGACAAGAAGGGGTGTGCCATCATATGTTCAAACATAAACAGTATGTGCCAGTGTACATACATGTGAGCTGTGTACTATCTAAAAAAACATTAGTTCTCATATTTTATCTTAGAGGCTGGGCGGTCAACAACGACTGGAATACAAAAAGTGAAGCCTTTTGAATGAATCATGTCTATATCACCAGTTTACAAAGTGAGCAAACCCAAAAGTCAGAGAGGTGAAGTTCCTGGGAATCTTAAAATATCAGAACTGAGTCAAATCTATTCACCACCCAGATTAAAGGTACGTGCATCAGTGACGTGTCACTGGTGTTTCATCATTCATGCTCATGTTGACCTAGAGCTCACGCTATAGGGCTGGTTGCCCTTGGCTCAGGACTTGCTATAATGCCTTAGGACACGGCACTTAGTGAACCACATGCACTTGCTGAGCCACACCACTGCTTTGTTGCTTCAGATTTTGTGGGAGCCATATCAAGCAAACTTTGAGGTGCCATTGTTGTCTAATCTATCCCCTCTTAAGAGATACACATGACTTGTGCTATGAAATTCTGCCAAATGTATGCCAGTTAAATACTGTGTGACTGCATAATCCTGCATCTAAATCCTACTCCTCCCTAAGAGTTCAGGACTTAATCAAAGGATTGTACCAATTTTCTTTCCTTTTTTTTTTCTTTTCCATCTGGTTGGCTGATAAGGTACAGAGTGTGCAGCTGCACTTGTTCAAACAGGCACACAAGGCACTTGTACACACACACACACACACACACACACGCGTACACACACACACTAGTTGTCAGTGGAAAAGTACTGGACTAAGCAGAGATGTCACCTTATCAAACACACCTTATCACTGCCATCAGTAGTCCCGCACTCAAAGACATGTTTGACTCAGTGTTATAAGAGACATGTAGAGATACTGTCTTAGAGCACACTGATTATTGAACATCTCAATGCATAATCAGGGCAGATACTACAGCTGTAAAAGCCCTCTCAGTGTATAATTAAGGATTTACTTGTGTGCTTACATGCTGTAAAGGGTCACAGGTTTTTTATATGCACAAGTGCATGTAGAAAATGAATATGTGTGATCCAAAAAACATTACAATGAAGTATTCCACTTGACCAGACTTTGTCAGCCCATTGCTTTCTCCAAATGGTAGTCACTTTTTTCTGATACAATTCACCTTGTTTTGGGTTGACAAAAAGGTCAAATTTAAAGCGATGCCTTTATAGATCCCAGAAAAGCAAATGAGACAAAGAAATTAACAGAAAGCCTGTTAAATGTATAAATGCCTTTATTTACATTTTCCATGGAAAAGATTCACAGTGACTGATATATTTAACAGTAAAGAGACTGCAGTAGGATTTTTTTGTTACCTGACATTACATATATGTACAAGACCAGATCAGCAGAGAGACACTTCGTCCACGAGGGTCACCAAATTGAATAAAGTATTTCTGATTCTGATTTGGACCTTAGTGGGAGTGGCCTGCGTTGCTGTGCATTCTGGGATTTGGTGTCTTTCATCCACATGAGCCAAAAAGACACTTTCTGCCTTTTCTTGGCCAAGAAGGCACCAACTTCAAAATGTATTTCACATTTCTACTACAGATATGACCCAATGTCAATACAGATTCATGTTTCAACGGGTGAAGTATCTCTTTAACTCTCGCAGCCATAGGCAGAAACCATGTGGTTGACCCTCAACACCTGCTGCAGTAATAATCAACTGATGATGATGGTTGACAGGGTGTAAATAGCTGGATAGTTACCATGTTACTGTTCCTCTAAATGCGCAACTGTTTACATACAAGTGTACATGTGAAGGATTGCATTTTGAAGAGTAAATTCGTTGGTTATATCTTTTTGCCTTTTTAACAGTAGTGGGAAGTAACAAACTAGAATAGCTGTTTATAAAGGATGGGGATGAACGTGAAGCAAGTCTGTCTTATTGTAAGAGAAATAAATCTCCAACAACATGGAAGGAACTGAAGGACTGAAACTGGAGCCAAAAAGCTTTATGGGTGTTGGAACAAATAAGAACTCTTAACAGCAGCTTACTCATAAAGCACAAGGTAATTTAGAGAATAGAGACAAGTGATCGACAAAACTATGCAAAACAAGTGGCACTACTTATTACATGAAAACTGGCAGTGTGTGAGTGAATACCACAACATTATAAGATAATTGAGAGTAATTAGAAGGGTTAGTTTGGATTGCAATGTGTTTCTCCACTCCCAGAAATTTTGGCCCTGACTTTAAGACTTGGATGTCAGTTCTCAAATAACCAGGGTTGGTGACATTTTAGACCAGCTGCTAAAGACTAGTCACCAAGGAAACATGGAAATCACCAGAAAAGGATAGGAAATAAATTAAAGGAAAGTGTCAAAAAATGAAAGTTCTGGAGAAGAGGCTGAAGATAAGCTAGAAAAAATAAAAGCTAGAGGAGTGGACTGGGCTTTAAATTTCCTCATAGCTGTCTGGTCCCCCAAGAGGATGTCTTTTGACCTTTGCTAACAGGGAAACAAAAATAGCATGGTAATAAATTTGCTCCGAATCAGCATTAGCAACATGAATAGGACTCACAACAGTTAAGTGCCCATGCTGAAGTCTGTTTTTCTAATAATGGTGGTAATGCTTGTCAAATATTTGAATGCCTAGTTAACTAAATTGGTAAAATACAAACTGAATTATTATTTTTTTAGTTAGCTAAACAACATTTCTAGTCATACAAAAGTTAAATAGCCCATTTTAAAGGATTTAACATTCTGCATCTCACGGTAGACTACCAATGCCTGACTGTCCCATCCAGGACTAGCACTCAGCTAACATTAAAATGTAAAATAAAACATCATTTTGAATACTTTTATCTGTATGATTTGGAGTTGAATTTAAGGTTTTCTGCAGAAATGTAACGCTACCCTATCTGCAGTAATCATGCCACTATTTGCTCTGACATACCAGTGACCTTAGGGACTGCTATAAAATCAAGAGCAACTGAACCCTTCCCTGCAACAAGATCTCCTCTTACCTAATTAGAGAAGTTTGTTTATTGAACCCACCTGTTCAAAACAGAGCAAGACCAGTGCATGGTGCGTTTCTTCTTTAAATCTGAAGGTTGTAATTTATGTTTTAACAAGAAATGGATTTCATTTTATTTTATGCAATATGATAAAGTCAGTTTGTTGCCAAGGAGATTCTTTAAACCTCTCTTTCATTATTTCAGAGCTACATTTTAAAAATGAAGGCTTATCAAAACCAACCTAATAAATCATCACACCAATGAACAGATTAAGATAAGACAAGATAATACTTCACGAATGCAAAGGAAATGCCTGTGCCAGGTTGCTGCAACATTCAAGTACAAAAACAAGTAACACAAAGGAGCATCAAATATATGTTTACATGGTCAGGCCCCTCTGGTTCTCTGTGACATGGTGCAACCCTTAAAGGTCCTTGGATCCTCAACCAGAAATACGATAGCAGGAAACTGTAAAGTATCATACCGAAGTACCTCCTTTGGCCAGACAGCCTTTGCTATAAAGGGAGCCAAGTTATGGAATACAAATGGTGGAATAAAAATGTATTATAAGTTAAGAAACAGAGAAAGCAAGTAACAGAGTAACAGTGTTATTGACACTGTTGACAGATCAGCCACATAACCAGATACTATCCAGGAAGGGACCACAGCACTACATTATAACAAGGAAAAGAGATATTGCACCCAACAATAATAATGATGTGTTGGAGCATTGCACATGATATTCAAACATTCAAAACAAAGTTTTTCCCAGTTGTAAAAAGTAAGTATGTTCTGTCATGTGTTGCAATGGCACCACCTGTTGGCCTGCAAAAAACTCATACAGGAAGTGCACTTGTTTCAAAGGAAACAGGAAGTGTGCACTCTATAAAAGGAACAGGAAGTTGGAAGTTCTTCCTTTTGTCATCATCAGAGCACACGTGGGAGCTCCTGGAGAAGCTCAACAACGAACTGACTTGTGTCGTTTAAGACAGCAACAGCTCTAAGTCATTTATTATGTATGATTGCAAGGTGGCTAGCCCTTCGATGTTTTGACAGAATGTGGTTGCAGAATCTGTATTTTTGAATTGCTTATCGTAGCATGTAGTTTAGCATTTAGTTTAGCATGTAGCTCAGTTTAGACCATAGCCTAGCTTAGCATTAATGTTATAATTGTATCACAAGTGAAATTGATTATTGAATTATGTGAGGTTATTTATAGCACCTTGCTAATCTGTACATTTTCTTTGTTATAGTTTTCACTCTGAATTCAACCTTGATGAATAAACAAGATCAACTGAGAACCTGACTCACTCATCATTTGAATCGAGTTTGGCTGACTGTCGAACTGCGTATCCACACACGTAGGGAGGACAGTTACAAAAGTAAGAACATGAGATGAAAGTAATCATTGCACATGATAATGAACATACCCTAGTATTGAAATGTTGTACTCTACATTGTAGTTGTTGAGGTTGTTGTATTTTTCAATAAAGCAATTTATCCTTAGCTGGACAATGTGTTAACAATCCTCAGACTTTATATACATTTTCGGTTTTACAAAACCAAGAGACAGCTGAATAACCAGATATAAATCCAACATAGTAGTATTAAGCTCAGCCTATGAGGCAGTAATGCAAATCTTGCAGTCCTAAACAAAGTCATGAAGGCAATGCATGTTGAAGCCTGGTTTTAGAGACCCAAGCTCAAATGTCGCCTCAGTGTTGGAAGTGTTGAAGTGTTGGACCACAAACTTGGTCATATGGAATCATTTGCACTTAAGCCGTTATTTATAGTTAAGTTAGGGGTGTTGATGGCTGGTCTTTGCATTGATGGGAGTTTTCCATGAATGGATTTAAATATATTTAATGGTAATTCAAACAAAGTGTTGCTGTTTAACATGATAACGCAGTCCATATCTTAAAGCTGCTGTCTTCTCCTGCCCTGCAGTTCAATAAAATGTGGTTAATTTTCAATATGATATGAACTATCATATGCACAGATCAGAGCATGTGATCGTACCTGACTCACCTGTGTATCATCGAGATCTGCTTCAACATGTAGTATACAACCGTTAAGCTGGATCTGAATTTACTAACATCATAATCACATTAATCTCTACAAATACCACATTAACAAAAACCTTAAGCCAATACTAAGCTAAGGCTTTAACAGCTCACACTGACAGAGTCTTGGTGTTTTTTTACCTAGAAAAACTTGTGAGGGCTCTTTCGGGTATAACCGTCAGGCATGTTCCTGATCATTCCTGAACAAGCTTAAACATACTTTCAAGCTCCAGCGTGAAATGACAGAAGGTCAACCCTGTCATTTTCTTCCCGTGTATTTGCATTGACAGATGACGTAAAAAAGCCTAAACCAGATCTATGGCTTTGTCTTAACCTTGTAAACTTGATAGTTTAAAAGGTTCACTGATGCTCTGTTATTTTTTACATAAAAAAAATATATATATGCAATTTAAGAAATATGTACAAAATGTATGTACATTTTCTTTACATGTTCTCCATGTACGTACATTGTAGATATTATTTAGTCAGCCAGATTCTGAGTTACAGGTGCCCATTTCTATTCAAATATTTTGCATTTGCAAATGTGTTCAATTCTTCCATAATGAACACATGTATCAGTCTTTTATTCCGTTGTTCCACTGTAGGAGGTTGCTTTTGCATCTAGCATAAAGTTATTTAAGCTAATAAGTTATAATTTTTTCAATATATGGTATGCATCCCAGCATATGATATAGTGGACTTAAAGGTAAATCCACTTTGAAGATTATTGTAATCTTATTTATAATATCGTCCCAAAAAGTCTGCAGTCTGGGCAATCCAAGAAAATGTGTATTTGGTCACCAAGCCTCGAGCAAACCCAGACACAACTTGAGGGGTTCTGAAGTATCAAACCTTAGAGGGATACTTCACCCATTTGCATTAAGCTTTGTATCATTAGAAACCTGGTAGTATTTTTGAATGGTCGTGCATCCGGCCCTCATTTTCCCCTGAGACGGGAAATCTTTGTATTTCTGAGTCTGAAAGGAGCTTCCAGTAACACAAAATGACGATTTATGCCATTGCTTTGTATTTGCCATTGCTTTGCATTGTCAGCCATATTGCTTGGAAGCTATGCTAACAGGCTTTATGGAGAAAGCTGATAATGGCAAAAAAATATAAATATAGTGGCGAGACGGCTGCTGCCAACAGGCTGGTCTTGTGTTTGGGCTGCTGCTGTTTTTAACCAACCTTCCACTCTGTCTACAGACTTATCATGTGAAGATCTTGCAGTCCACTTCTAAAGTAAAATAGATTTCATTAGATCAAATCTGTCCCACTATCAGCCTACAAATTTTAAAGGTCCCATATTATGCTTTTTCTGGGTTTATATGATCTTTAGTGTGTTTTCCAAATGTCCTGTGCATGTTTAGACACATCTATTTGCAAAAATTCAAAGTCCGCGGAAACGCGGCTTCTCCTACCTCCTCCTGTTAGCTGTAGCAATAGCTGCATGTAACGCTCGGTTCTAGCCCCCCTCGATAAAAATTAGTCATTGTCAGTGTGAGATCACTGATCCAAGCCCATTGGCTCGTTGTGGCAAGCCCAGCAGCTCATGTTGCACGCCTATTAACTTCTGTAGCACGCCCACGATATGCCGTAGTCTGCGGTAGCACAGTAGTGCTTAGGTGCTAATGTTTTTGCTCCCCTCGGACGGAGCCAGTGGCTGCATTCCAAATATGGTAAAAGAGGCGGGACATTTCCGAGAAGCGTGCTGAGCAACTGACCAATAACGACAGAGCGTATCGGCAGACCAATCAGAGCAGACCTGGCCCACGTGGGTTCTAGCAGTGTGGGCTCAGCAGAGCGTAGCTGACGGACTCAGAGCGGAGAGGGAGCAAAGAGGAGCAGTACATGAAAACAGACACTTTTTTTCGGACTTTAGCTATTGTGAACGTACAAAAGTAGGTACATAGATTAAATATATGAACCCCAAAAAGGGCATAATATGGGCTCTTTAACACTCAAGAATCCTTGAGGAAACACTGGAGATGTCCTGGTTGATGCTGAAACGATTGGCAAAGTTATTTCTCAACTTAGACCAGCTACCTGCCTTTTAGAGCTCATCCCAACATAATTTTTTACAAACTTTTATGGCTTTTTTAATTCCCGAACTTCTTAACATTTTAACTATTCTCTTCAGATGGGTGTTTTCCCCACTGCTTTTTAAACTGCCATAATCAAACCTCTTCTGGAGAGAAATAATTTAGATCTATCTGTACCAGATAGAGACCAGTATCTAACCTGCCATTTTTAAGTTAAATTTAAGAAAAATCTGTTTTTAATCAGTTAAATGATTTTATGAACTCCAGAAGCACGTATGAAATGTTTCAAATATTGGTTTAGAAAGAATCACAGCACAGAGACGGCGCTAGTTAGAATTGTAAATGACCTCAGGTCTACCATGGATAAAAAAAAAAAAGGCCCTCTGTTTTAGTTCTACTTGACCTGAGTGGAGCCTTTGATACGGTAGACCCCACAATTCCTTAAAACAGACTCCGTAACGTTGTTGGCATCTCTGGTACTGTTTTTAACTGGTTTGAATCATATCTCACTGAAATAAAATTTTACGTAAGTGTGGGTGAATGCTCATCTGGAGTTTATAAAATGAAATGTAGTGTTCCCCAGGGTTCAATTTTAGGTCCTTTTTAAACTTTATAGGTTACCACTAGAAAATGTCATCAGGAGGCACAGCATAAATTTTCATATTTATGCTGATGACACACAGCTCTACATTTTGAACCTCCCGTGTTTCCTCATTTAGAATAAATGATAGCGTTTCCTCGGTACCTGTTCTTATCTAGTTATTTTTAACTTAGTTTTTGGATTGTGGGATAGGGGTGGGGGAGGGAGTCATGTTGTTGCTGTTTGATTTACAGTATGTTGATGTAAAGCACTATGGGATACATTTGTTGTATGCAAAGTGCTATACAAATAAAGTTTGATTGATTGAATTACAGAGAATATTGGTGCTGGTCAGATTAAAGATGACTTAATCAGATTGTATGATGGCTAATCGCTGTCTGCGCAGATGTAACGCAAAAGTGATCACATTAAAACATACCCTTGAATCTACGCTACTGTGATTGACTCAATAGGACGGAGACATCTGATTGGCTACAGACATTTCCCTGCTGAAAACAATGCATTTATGAATCTAACCATGGCAGGGGAGTCTCAAAAATCCCACACAGAAATGCAGTGTGGTTCACAAATGACAAAGAGTTTGTAAATGCAGACTGAACAGTTTGTATATAAATGTAACAAGATACAAATGTGTTTTTTAAATATGTATATTATACATTTGTGGATTTATATTACATATATACAAAACTATAAATATTTGTGAATCAGAAATACATTTGTGAATCTTATTTTTTTATTTGTGGATTTGATTTTCATTTATATAGAATGAAATATATTTGTGTGTGCATTGAAATACATTTGTGAATCCTTCTGTGTGCATTTGTGAATATTGAGACTGATCTAACACCATAAGCCAAGGAGTAAAACCAAAAGCTCAAAAAACTCTGGGGCTTAACACTTGGGCACTTGGCAAGAGGTACAAAGACTGACTTATAAGCAGCAATTGTGAACAATCAGCGAGATTGAAAACAATTAGGGAAGGTGACATCATCAAACAGAAAAAGGAAGATTAGTAGCACAAAATAAGAACTTAACAGTTAGATGACAACCAAGGGGTAAACTACAGGAATTTTAGTTAGCAAGGTAACTTCAGGGTTAATGCTGGGTTCACTTCTTACCTTTGTAGATCACCTTACTAACTTGTGCTGTGTAGGTTATGTTCAGGACAAGAGATGAACATCTGCCACTGACCAACAACACCTTCAATAACTCTTGATTCTGGAGCTCACTGAGCAGATTGAGAGAGGGGAGGTAGGAGAGAGAGTAAATATATTAACTTAAATTAATTATCATTTTCATATCATCCTTCAATAGAAAATGAATAAGCACCGGAGCTTTGTAGATGTGTTTTTAGGATGTAAAATCACACACAGCCTACTTATTGATTGGAATTATATTTTCATATTAATTTATATTGGCTCCATGTAGCTCTGTTTGTTACTGTTGGAGCTACAGATGAAATAAAACGTGTAAAGCAGTTATAGATGCCACAACAAAAAGTCAGAGCAACAAATAAAATTAAAGGGGGCAAGAGGCGTTATCATAGTCTGTTGAGTGTGAAGTGTTTTTGTTTCCATTTGTAGTCCGAGCTTTATTGACCAATTACGTATTGGCAAACTTTGGTGAATGCCGGTCATAAAAGTCCATGTGGACAGCAAAAAAACGGCAGAACTTGTATCTGCACTTCAACATACCGACTCCCATCTACAACATTCTAACGATTATTTATTTTTCTCCATGAAGCAATATCGGCATATAAATGCAGCTTAAAATTTATGAAAGATCAAACATTTGACTTTGAGCCACAAATCTGTCTCATTACAGCCAATTATGAAATGCTTTAGAAGTAAACGGTAAATGGAATTGAGCTCATTTGGTGCTTTTCTAGTCTTCCAACTACTCATAGTGCTTTTACACCACATGTCACACTCAACTATTCACACATTGATGGTAGTGAGTGCTATGTAGTATTATCCATCAGAAGTAACTAATACCATTCATACACCGCCACTGAAGCAGCGGGCAGTTTGGGGTTAAGTGTCATGCCCAGACATGTTGCCCAGCTGGGGATCAAACCCTTGACCTTCCGGTTGAGAGGCAACGACTCTACCAATTGAGCCACAGCCACCCGTGATTGATTTGACCTTCAATCAACAAACAGGAATTTTAAAAGTTGTTTTCTTCTATTCTTGACGACAAACCTTACAAAGCTTGACATTTTACTTTTTAAAAAATTGCACCATGGTGTTGTCATTTCAGCAAATTTATTTCTCAGCAATTGTGGCTGAACTGAGTCCGGGTGAAGCCACTATGACATGTACAGTGGTTCACCATTGAACTGAGAGTGAGACTCAACAGATTAACACGTATTACCCTGGGATATTATGGGCAGTGTTTGCGTTGCAGTTGTAAACGCTGCCCTGAAGTCATTTTAAGGTCACCGCTGACTTCTACAGAATGAATAACTGGCATCCATTCCCAGAGGCATACAGTATATTGTATATCAGACAATGATAAAAGATAAGTGCCTATGGGTTCTGAGATTGTTTCAGTCTAAACCATGAGCTCCTTAACATTAATGTTTTTATGTGATGTTAAGCAACACCAACAACCTGCCCTACAGGACAAACAAGAACTCAATACATGACCCAATACATTCAAAGAACACCTTAAAGAAACAAAACCATGGGACTTATGGTCACAAAGAACTAAACGATTAAGTACTAAAGCAACACGATACATCAATACAAAATCCCTTTAAGCAGCAGCAAGAAAAATCCCTAATCCAAATCCACTCTCCTCCTGAAGTCAGCCCTGGGATTTATAAGCAGTGAGGCCAGGTGCACCTTATTGTGCATGAAAAGCTTCCCTGTCCTTTGCAGGGACAAACACACACGAGAAAAAACTACAGTGGACACAGAACTTTAACAGCTAAAGATTGTAAATATTAATGGACGAAGCTTGAGTGACGTCACCCAGCTGTTACGATACGGGACTCTGGAGGTTCATTGGCAGCAGCCGCCATTCTGGAAATCCTGTCTCAGCCTAACTTACACTCAAACTGACGCCCAACTATAGATAACACATATCATTCATAAAATCAAAGTGTACCCTCAAGCCGACACTTGACGAACTGCAGGATTTTCCACTTCCACATTTCTCAACACCGAAGGTTGCCGCTTGGTAGGAACTAAATCTGAAGAGTGCATGTTTCAATATCGTGAACATTATGAACGTGACATTTAACTGTGGGGAACCTTATGAAGTGAGAGGAAGGTTTCCTGAGGCTCTTAAGGAAGATCAACTTCAACCAAGATGAATTGCTTGCTGTCAAAGTTTATGACTGTTTTCCAAAACTCTCCTTTTGAGTTGGTCATACATGAATGGCAGAGAATAGTCTGCTAGTCGGACATGGTAATAACAGGCTATTAAATAGCTCTTATGGAATCATCCCCCATAGTGCTTAGTAACAGCACGTTCATGTGTTTTGGTGGATACCATTAAGCTTTGAGGAGTGGTGCTAAGTGGGCCTCATTGGTAGACAACTTGGTCAGCTGGGAAGCTGCCGGTTGCAATGGCGACCCCTCTGTTCACTGGCATGGTTGGGCCTCGAGGCAGCTTGGAGACATGTTTTGATCAAATTATCAATGATTGCATGCCAGCACAGGTGCTTTATAGATGAGCTGTCAGACGTGACTGGGCAAGCCTGGGTGTCTTAAAGTCTTATCAGGGGCGGAAAGATAGTCTCTTCAAGTTGGAAAACAAGGTTACAATGTAACCGTATGTTTCTAGAGACAGAGCTCTTTCTTTCACATATTCATCCAAAACCACAATGTCAAACTCCCGATGTTGCTATAGTAGGATGGACGGGTTTCTACTGTAAACTGAATGGTTGAGATGCTGGAATTGTATATCCAACAATACATAAAGATAATTAATGGCTAGTAATCCATCAGCTTAGAGTACAACAGTATCCCTCCATACAGTTTAATGATGTCGTTTTTGTATTCAACAGTATTTTATTAAACAATTTTAAAGTTTATCTTTGAAGAACTTGTGGTACGATCCACTAAAATAGGGACGGCAAAAATCAGTCATTGGTTTCAGCCTTTATTCTGACAGAACATCACCCCATGGGGATTTACATTAAATTGATTACAAAGTAGGACCTTGCCAACTGGCAAGAGAGAACAGCCTTCACAAAGGTTCGTTATACAAACAACACAGTTAATCAAAATCAACATGCATAATAGTATAAAACCAAATACATTTATAAGGGGAAAATGCAACAAAGAACTCATCACCTATTTATATTATAAAACTAACAACTTTTCAGAGAATGACCCAACATGGAAAAAAAACAACCCTTGTCCTTAAAAGTGATGTAATGAACAGATAACATAACCGTGCACCATTATCAAGGCGTCCTTTCCCATCCTACAGTGTGTTGTGAACAGCTTGCTGGCTGCTGGCTCGTTTTCTTGCAAGAAGTCAAGTCTGGAGGCGTCGTCAGGCTCGCCTGTTTGCTCTACGAGGCGAACTGTCTTTTCTGTATGTAACATGTTTTTACTGTGATGCTTACAATACACAGGAAAAACACTGATTGACAGTTTTGTAATTCTGTAAAGATGACATATCATTTAATGTTCTGCAAAATTGAAGGTGAATTTGTTTCACTTTAAAGGCTTCATATGCGATTTTTTGATGTCGCCCTTGAGCACCAGCATGAACCCAAAACAACTTGCGCTGCATTGTTGTGTTAGCATGCTAATACTAGCGATCTTTATTATACTGGTATCTTCACACTGCATGTAAATTGACCTGAAATGAGCGTGATCTAGAAACACAGTTAAGCAGTGAGTACAGTATGTTATTCTTCTTTTCTCTAGTCCCTCAATTAAACAACTTTTATACATGAGGGGAGGAGTCAGCCGGCCGTCCCAACGATGTCAACAAACTGAAGATAGGACTCTGAAAACTCTGAAAACATCACAGACAGTGGGACTCGGGTGTTACACCCATTGTAGACAGTCATGACTCACAGAGTTATTTTCAGAGGATATACTTGATTTATATTACATTTAAGTTTGAAAAATCGCATTTAAAGCCTTTAACGTTGCTAACTTGAGATAAAATACACGTGTGTTTCTCTTGTCAAATCCTCAACGCATCGTGATCAACCGATAAAAAAATAAAAAGTGTAAATATCGAAAAAAGAAATCATGATTAGGCTGTATAGTACAACACTTTAAAACAGGTAGAAATCACAATAACACATAGAAAAAGATGCATTGTGTCCTGAATGTGTCCTGTTTTCATACACACTTTCTTTTGTGTGTTAAGTCTTTGGAAAATGACATTCACACAGTATGCTTTGGATAGAAGTCACAATATAGGTGGTAGTCCTGATACTTAAAGCAAACATTACCGGCCCTTGAGGTATTTAAACAATGACTAGATTATACACCCACATTACGATGACCAGTACAGAAGCACTGACAGCAGAGTGAAACCAGTTTCCAGTGACATGTAAGGCAACAGTTTAGTAGAGGAAGGCTGTCGGTCTGTCAGATTATACCAGGGACCATTTTGCACAACAGACTATAGTTACAGGCTCAGTATAATGACACATATGCATTTTAACAAAAGAGATGTGGTTGAACAACGTCTCACAAATAATACGGTGTAAATATGCACTGATGTAAATCTTTACTGTTCATTGTTGAGAGTCTCATTTGCACGGATGTTCTTCAACGGAAAGGGGAAAAAAAGTAAATTGGACTGTAAACTACAACTTTTCAATAAGTAATGACAAAACAAAACTACACAGTACAAAGACAATGAAACACTGAGAGGATCATGTCTCACACTGATGGGTGGAGAAGAAAAGTAGTGATATGTCTGAAGTGCTTTCTCTCCGCGTAGTTGAAGAAAACTGCTACAATGAGTTTATGTCATATGAGTAGATTGCTGTTTGGAGGCCCTTGCAATAGCTGTGAGATAAATGGAGATTAAGTTGTTTTTTTGCATTTCTGTCTCTTATTTCTGCTATTCTTGACCAAACACAAACAAAACTTACTGAGGTAAGTAAAAAAAAAAAGAAAATCGACGTGTAAATCGTTTAAAATCTTGAAATAGTGTTTGTGTCACCTCTGTATACTTTTTAAAAAGTGCTTGTAGAATAAAACCCCCAGCATTGCACTGAAATCCAAGTCTGGTCTTATACCTTAGAAATGTTCTTATAATTCTGTTTGTCCTCTCCGCACATTCACAGATTTAAACTAAGATTAGTCTTTACAAAAACAACAGAGAAACATTTTAAGGCTGCTATAAATCTGAGATTTTTCAAAGCAAAGCAGTTTGATCATAACACAGCTGCTATTATAGAATAAAAGCATGATTGTAACTATGATTGTACATAAAAGTTATATAAAGGAAGTTAAAAGTGTGATTATATAATATTGACTTACATGCTAAGAAAAATCATCTTTGCCGTATAGTAGAGCTGGAAGCAGCAGAGATCAGATCACAAAAATCTTTCAAAAAATGTGCCAAGGAACGTGTCAGGCCGTGCCCTCGTTCCTTGGGTAGTTTTTCTTTTTTGTTCTGGTGTAAAAGAGGGCCCTGTCATGCTGCACATAGCTGCAAATCTTTCCCAGAGGTTTACACTGAACGATAAGCTTGGTGTCCTGAGATACACCCCGATCAGACAAACAAAAGATTATTCAGTAAAGAATGAAGTCGGCTGGGTTTGCTCCTGTTTTCTTATCAGCTACATGACCCAATCTGTTTAGCTTCTCCAACATAAAAACTGAATTTTAACGAACAATTACAAACATTTCTATATGAGCTATTTTATTATTTTATAATATTTTACTGGTGGATTGACTGCTCAGTTCCTTGTGCGGGTGTCCTTTGTGCCATAACAGGTTGCCACAGTGTTGGGGTCTTCAGGAACTGAATTGTCATTGGTCATGAAAGAATCCTAAAGCACTATCTTAATTTATCAAAAAGAGGTAAAATACATTCTCATTAATCTATTATTCTTGTTTTGAGTTTCTAATGAATATAACTGTTGTTGTGAACTTGTTTCTTAAATGATATCCAATGAATGGAAATAGCTTGGTGGTTAAACCCGCCTCTGGGTTCTTTGTGTGTCAGCGTACATGTTGAAATGGAAAAGATTGGGGCCTTTATGTTTGTTATCACATTCATTATACTAAATGCTGGCTTTCTGCTAATTATTCTACCCAAGGAGCCTATTTACACCGAATAAGGCAACTTATGAAGTAAGGTGCCAGAGAGCTCATATCACACTGCTAATGTAATAGTCATCACCACAATGTCACTGTGATACAGATTCTGTACATAATGTCCAGTCTTTCCTTTGTTCCCCCTCTGTGAACTCCTGCTAAGCAGACAAACATATCTGCTCCATCCACTCCCCATCGTCCATCTCTATTTCTTTTGTGTGCCTCTTCATAAGCTGGTGGTGTCCAAGAGCTGCCTGGCCACAGATGCGTCTTCCTTTTCAGAGATGGTCCTCTTGTGGTCCGCAGCACTTGCTGTCGTCTGCGTGCGTTTGATCTTGAACACATCCCAACTCTCAGGCAGCAGACCCTTGTTGAAAATGACGGAGGCCAGCCAGGAGACGATCAGAATGGAAGCAAGTGACATGACCATGATTGTGGTGCGAAAGGGGAAGAACTGGGTTAGCCTTCCTTCGCCGTCCAGTCGGCAACCGGGGAATTTGATGGCTGGCGGCAGGCCGATGAGGGGCTCGCCGCTCATGACCCTCAAGATGATTCCCATCAAGTAGCCCACGCTGGCTCCGTAGCCGTTGGACACCTTGAAGAAGAGGATGCAGACCAGCTGAGGGAACATGATGGTGTAGGACATGTCGACGCCCACAAGCCAGAAGACCAGCACGCTGCTGTCCAGGAAAGTGAGAGCAGTGCCAGCTAGGCCCACGACCACCACTGAGATACGGATCACCCACTGCATTTCACGGTCTGATGCCTGAAGGAGAGAAGAGTAGGACAAAGAGAAAGGCCCAGGGAGTTAAATTTCACTTCATACCTTTTTTTTAACAATGTTAGGATCTAAGGATCATCTTGAGATCGGCTTACAAAATCAGTTTCTAGTTACAGCTCTTTACAGCTCTATAAGAGCCCGACAATATGCTGGCTAATTATATGGAACATTCCTCAGGGATGAAATAATGAAATAGATCATTGTTAGAGGAGAACAAACATCATAAACAAGACTCAATCTGAAACAGAGGGCATATTGTATAGAATGTGCAGTATCATTAAGTCAATAGCTACTGTGTTGCTGCCTCCAGCTTTTGATGTGAGAGTACACTATAGTGATACAGTCGCTGGGCTGTTAATGTCCTTGGGCTACCCACATATGACATACGACTTATTTCCAGCTGATTATTATACAAATAGAGGAATATAAGATCCAAAAAGGGGGATTTTAAGATTGCATGCTCCTCATGACTCACAAAGGTCAAATTTGATAATGAAGATTTTCTCAGAACAATTACAACTATTTAAGAAAATGCATTGGAATGAAATAAACTGAATTTGCAGATAGCTTGTCTTGCTAAGGAGGCACTAGCCGAGCTTTGCATGGTAGCTGAAACAAAACTTCTTTGCAGCCTTCGGCTCTTGTGGTAAACATGTGAATTTGAAATTTACGCTATACCTTTAAATTATCGACTGTTTGCATTAATAAATGATTGAGTTATACTAATAAAGACTACCTTATGTTCCAGAAAGCCTGTTGTCGATAGAGATGGATTTAATATAATATATATAATATAATATATATATATATTTAAAACAATATAATTTCACTTCACAGTTATTCCAAGAACCTTCAGATATTAAACCAATTTTTCTACCATACTTTATAGGAAGTTACTCTTATGTAAATGTAAATGAAAGTTTTAAAAAAGTGGTTTCACTGATGTATTCTCAGACAGACTTGACATCTCCCTCAGATTCTGACCTGCTTCCTGAAGATGTTCTTGTAGACATTAGAGGAAAACATGGACGCTGAGGACAGAAGAGCCGAGTCCATGGAGGACATGACAGCCGCAGCCACAGCTCCAATCCCAATAACAGAGATGTAGGGGGGCGTGAGGAACTGCAGGGCGATGGGGAGGATGGAGCCTGCCTGGTCACGCTCATATGGGGTTGGCAATCCGTAGCTGGTTGAGTTCCAGTCTGGGAGGAAGGACGGAAAGGACGAACATTTGGATGAATACCAAAGGAAAGTTTGGAAGACCGAGGGGAGAAATAATTGAATCCAGAAAGACACTAAATCTGATAAAGAGAGCCTAATTAGTTAAACCATGAGAAGAATGTCAACATTTTGACTCTTTCAAAAGCAGAAACATATTCAGACTCTAGTCTTGGAAAGCTGAGTTACAATTTCCTATAACTGTGAGTTAAGTGTGTACCTGTTGATGCAGCCACAGCGCCGATCAGCACGGAGGGGATACCGAGCACCAGGCAGAAGGCAGACGAGGCAAAGCAAGTCACTTGAGCCTGGGTGTAAGATGAGGCCGACAAGATTCTTTGGTAGAATGCCTGGTAGGCCAAACCGCCCAGAGCCTGGCACAAACACACAGTTGAGACATGATGACAGATGACTGTACAGCTACACAGGACTAGAAGGAGCAATCCTCTCATGACCCTGATGTTGTTGTGCTTAGCTGTTTGTTCATCTAATGAAATCAGACCATTTCATTCCACTGCTGGTTCCATTTAATTTTAATTGCTGTAATGGCTGGAGCTCTGTAAATACTAGATTAGCTGTGTATGAGACAACATGTAGTGCAGTCTGTGTGTGTGTATATAATGACTTCTCCCACTCCACTCACCAGCAGCATGAAGTCATCAAAAAACTTGCCGGCCTGATCGAGCTCCACCGTGCCGACCCAGGGACTGGTTTGTAAGGTCTGGTTGTAAGCAGTTAGTGAGATATCCAGAGAGTGAGGGTTGGTCATCAGGAAAGGAACACACACCCACTGTATACACAAACACAGGAAAAATGGTTAATCTGATTGTGGGCCCAGTTTGGGAAGTTTTCTGTCTGTCCCTATAAATATCTGTTGGAGATGTACAGTAGTTAAAATTTATTATGGATTTTCCGCATTTGTTCATCATAGTAAACTTATATATTCTTTTGGATTCAAATTTATTCGTATGAAATACCCTCAACAATAAGTAGAGGTCAACAATTCCATTATGGCGACCCCTCGTTAGGCTTCATAACGCCTCTTCAGAAAACAATAGGTGACGATACAGAGACTAGTTCAATAGTGTATAGATATTACGCACCAGACTGATAAAGATGAGGATGAGCTGGATGACGTCTGTGTAAGCCACAGAGTAGAGCCCCCCAAGCAGTGTGTAGATTATGGCCACTACTGAGGAGGTGATGATGGAGTAGACGTAGGACAGGTCCAGGATCACACTCATAGTTCCACCTGGAACAACACAGCACAGCAATAAGCCTCACACCACTAGCAGAGACCAATAATGCTACAGCAAGTCATCTAGTTTACAGCAGTTGGTTGCTATGGTTACATGCAACTGCTTATGTGATAGTTAAATAGTTGTATTAGTTTTCTCCTTTTTAAATCTTTTCTCTTTCACACACACACACACACACACACACACACACACACGTACATGCAGTCACACTTACTGTATGTAGTAATACCAAAGAATTGTTAAGAAACTAAGCATATGATATGGTCATACTATTATCTAAACACACAGTATTTTATATGAACACGTAAACAAATAATGCTTTAACAACCAAAATGCAAAACATTTCTAGACATATAAGTCAGGAATAAAGTTATACTTAAGTATGGGTTGCTTCGGTTTAAACCTCTAGTAAGCATCCATGAGCTAAAATAATGCAACAAGCGAACAAAAACTGATAATAAGATCATAACAAAAAGAACTTTAAAGAAACACAAACAAAAGCAGCCTATTGATTGTGACTCCAAGTGAAACTCTCACCCTTGTGAGTCAATTTCACCATTTTAACACTAATAATTCTTCATTAAGTTACTTTCATTTTGAAAATAAATGTAAAAAAAATAATGAAAGAGAAGTGTCTTCAACAAGTAAAACGTGTTTCAAATGAATTTGTGATTAAATGTATATTTTAAATAAATGAAAAAAAAAGACATCTTGTTACTCAAACAAGGCAAGCAAAACGTCACTACCTTCACCGTCTCTTCTGCCACATTGCCAGGGTCCCCCCAGCCGCAGCCTGCAGCCACACCACAACAATGCCCTTAAACAGAGAAGTGTCAGATCGGCACCATCGATCGCCACTCACCACCCTGCTGACTTTCCCACCCTCACTCCATCCCATCTCAACTTTCTGTCTCCCCGCTTTGCACCATCTACATTAAGCATACTTGGCTGTTACATTTTGAGCTTCTCACCTCATGTGTTTCACATTTTTGAAATCTGATCTGTTACCTTGTAAGCTTTCAGTTGGTGTATCTTAGTTATTATATAATCTAAAGTAGTTTGTTTTTGTATCTGAACTCTGAAGACAGAATAACCCAACACTTAAGAAAAAAAGATAGTAGATACTACAGTTATAAACCACTTGTTCACACTTGAAACAGAAATGCATCTTAAAATACAGTTGGTAATACATTTAGATTTGTTCAGTGACAAATTTGTATGTCAACATTGAATGAGGAGTTCATTTTGAATAAGAAACTTGTTTTGTATTAACTGCAATGCTATCAGGTGAGCAAACTCTGACCACAAATGGTCAGACGAGATGCATTGTGTCATGTGTGAACTGAAATCCATCTCAACGTGATAGCTATGCTTTATGATCAAGAAAGGGTTCTGTGTTGTTTGTCAAGGGACTTATCTCATTGTTGGGACATAATGCAACCTTAACACTGGATACTAAATTATTCCTTGTTTTCCAAATATAGCACTGGATCTCATATTTGTTCTATGCTGAGCTGTGCTGTTCCCCTCCAAGCTAAATTTAGGCAAGGGAAAGGTGGAATGAGATTCAGGGGCCTCTGGACGTAATGGGCGCAGCACCAGGGATGGACAGAGGGAAGGGGCTGTCCAAATACCCCATGTTGTTTTTATCCATGTCCTTTTTAAAAAAAACTGGTGCGTGAGCGTGCATGCACAAACACACGGACACACATAACCTTTCTGTCCTGTCCATGATTCTTTCCCAGAAGAAATTTGACCATGACTGTGTACTCTTGATACGACACAGTTAACTCAGATCACATTCAAAGTATTTTTAAATTAGTTCAATAATTTCTGGCACTGAACCACCACAGTCACACACACACACACACACACACACACACACACACACACACACACACACACACACACACACACGCTCAAGCTGACCATGAAGCTCAGTTTATACTCCACACACACACACACACACACACACACACACACACACACACACACAAATAAACAGTCTCCCAGCAACAACGCCCCTGTGGTGGGTCAAATGCTCAGTACACTCTCTGGAGTGTCAAGTGTTTATGTGTGTGTATGTGTGTGATGCTAAGCCCACATCAATGATGTATTCATAGCTGTACCAGAAACAACAGCAAGAGTTTTTTTTTTTCTGAGGAGTGAGGGGTGTCCTGACTCTATATTGGTTTTATAGCTTTGGACCGGAACATTCCTGCATCTCCACCAGTCCTTTTGTGGAGTGTCATTACAGCATGTGGTGCTAATTTGGTTATTGACTGCTATTGACTCGATTCAATGGATTTCATTGGTTTGATCAAGTTTTTTCCCCCCAACATCATCTTACAAATTACAGATAATTAAATGATTGCTTCCCATGTAATATTTACTATGTAACTGACTCGGTGCCTTGGCACCAACACTTTTAGAAACCTCCAATGACACAATATTCTGATCTGGTTTAAACAATTGATCACCTCTCACAATCAACAGGCTGCTCGATGTTTAACCCACTTTTCAAATAACACTGGAAAAGAAAACAGCGTTAAAAACACACAAGAAAACAATATGTTCACACCCAGCCACAACACACTCATGGTCTCTCCCACTCATTCACACTGCAAAGCACATGCTCACTGTCATCCACCACACGCACACACACACGCACACGCGCACACACACACGCACACGCGCACACGCACACGCACACACACAAATCATCACTGACAAATGACAATAGCAACAGTAAAAGCAATAGGACCATATGTAGTAGCATATTTAAAAGTATTATGTAACAAAGCTTTTTCTATTATAGAAATATTGTTAGCCATCTTGTCATCTGAATGATGACACATAAACTCAAATAACATAGCTGCTTTTATTCTGACCAACACTCATTGTATATATAATGCTCAGGGTCAATTATTGTCTTTTATTTAGTTTCAAAAAAAGGCACCAAAGGCAAGCATCTCCAGCATCTGGCTGTAAAATGTGTGAATGGAAAAGCTCAATAAGTCCTTAAACAAACTTACCTAGTGTGAGGTTTTGAAAGCATAATTGTTGGCCATTTCTTTGCTGCTAGCATTAAACAGGCAAGATGTATAGTGGTGTGACGGTTTGTTAAGCCAGTCTCCCTCTTCCTACTTCTTTTAAAAAAAATATTTATTAAGCTCTTCTCAACCAGCAATTTAGTACGTGCACTTTGACAGGTTTATGACTTGAATGCTGGGTTTTGATTTCAGACGGATGTCCACAGCTGTTAGCTAGCTAATTATATTAATGCTTGTTGGTTAAGAAAATTCTGTTTCAGACTTTTCAGTGTATCCAGCAACTTCCTTAAAACCAAGATTCTTGTTAAGGGTATAAATGACTCCAAACTTACTACAAACATATTATGCAACAAGACAAAAGCTCATGTAGAATGGCCAGCCCCTACAATTAACAGTGTACCAAGCAAAATATCAGTATCCCCTTTTTCTTAAGTAACCTATAACCCTGTAAAGTAATATATTTCATAAAGGGCTCCTCAGCAGATGCATCTATTCGTTTCAAAAGGTACTGTGCTACTTAGCTGGCTGAGTGCTGACTATGGTAGCTTAGACAGGTGCACATGGTTCAGTTCATTTCATACAGTTTCTGCTCTTGTAAAAGCATGGAAAAAAAAGACCCTGTGTTAGTGAGTGTCAGAGGCTATTCATTATAAAGCTGTTGGTGTTGTGTCATATCACATTTTTCCTTTTATTCTATTCAACTGCATTAATAAAGTCCAAACAACAGCGAGTTGGTGCCAAAAAGTTCACTCCATGTAAGGCTGTCGTGGTGAAGGAATTCCCCCTGCAGTGAATGAGTGTGGCTCAACAGTATGCAGTCATCGCATTAGGGGACGGCAGCTGGCGGCCCCCAGGCCAAAGCTGGACTGCCAGTAATAATATCTGGCCCCAAAGATTATTTTGATTGTGACTTTCATTTATTTTTTACTCTTTTGTTACCAACAGTGTCTGTCACAAACTTCCATGGTTTTGTGGTTAAGAAAAAATATACACAAAAGTCACAATCCCTCTTTTCACAGGGATCTTTTTGGCGCAGATTTGACCAATTTTCATCATCTAAATCAGCTGGTTCGCCTTTTTTCATTCAGCTAAAAGCAACAATGTTCCTAAGGGGGCCAAGTTACTTTTGGTTAAGGTACCACAGCAGTTGCCTTTGTGTCCATCTGAACATGAGGTTGTGTGAGATGACTTCACTTGCGATTGTAACGTTGGCCTCCATGCTCTGTGGTTGGCTTATTAATATTGCACTTTTACAATTAATTGTCCCTAACTCCATCAACATTCAGCTTTCTTTAACTATAGTGTTTATGCCAATTTAAGTCCATAATTATGGGTGCCTGACTGCATGATTGTGTGCTCACATTTAAGTGCCAGACGGTTTTGTAGTGTGAGGTAACTTACCCAGGCTGACAAGTGTACGAGCCACCCACAGGACATCAGCCACCAGTGCGGGAAAGATCAGCGCAGTGCTCAGAACATTCCCATACTTCTGTTGGAAGGGATCCATCATTGTCAAGTACTTGTTCTCTCTCATAGGCTTGGCAAAGAAAAAACCACCTGAAGCAGAAGGGAGGGGATTACTTTAAAGCCGTGTTTTCTTTTTCGACATAATGAAGCCAGTTTATAGTGGCAATATTTCTGTCATTTTAAAAACCAAAGGCCAGGGGTAAAAAGAAGAGGGAAGGGAAACAAATGTGTTTGAACAACAAGAAAAATAAATGTTCAGTTCAGATAACACAATAAACACCTTTAGCTGAACTCTTGGGCCCACTTGGCCAACAATGGACTTTAACAGAATGGGGAAGTTTTATTTCCTGGTCCGGGACTTTGGTGTTTCCAGTTCCCATTACTCACACCATGCAAGCCATTGTGACAAAGGGGCCTTAAAAACAGGATATTTCACCTGTTGCAAATGCGTGCAGAGGAATCACTTAGTTGGTCATTTTGGTGAATTCAGAGCGGGTTATACTTCTCTGGGTGAACTTAAGCATTTGCACCTGTTGCTTTGAGTTACAATCCTTCACTGATTTCTCATGCTCCTATTTTTAACATGAGCGACACCTTTATTGGTGCTTGGAGTCAGATTGGGGTTAGGGATATGGAAGCTAGGTAACTGTTTAACAAAACTTTTAAACATTGTATCCAAGAACTTTGAGAAACATAATTTTACACTAAAAACAAAGTCGTCATAAGCAAGATCTTTGTAAGCCCAAGTTTAGTCGATGTCTATTTTCTGATTGTGTCCTATATTGTGTAATGGGAGGATATCAAGCACCACCAAGACATTTTTTAAGCACGGTTGTATCAAGTCACTTTGGCCCAGACTGCTGCACTCAGCTGAGATCATTTCTTAAAAAAGACAAGCTGTGTCTTGGGTGGGTTGTTTATGGTTCAGGGTTTGACGTTTGATGGTAAGTGATGCAACTTACCTAAGAAAAAAGTCAGGACATATGGTACAGGCATAAGAGCCCACACTGCACCTAGTGTTGGGTTGTATGTTGCCTCAGCTATACCAAGGATGAAGCCTCCGCCCACCCATGTAGCTGTAAAGACAAACACATAAATATTAAAAGGAAACATGATCCAGATACTTTATTCGCTTGGCATTCCAATGACTTTATACATATACCAAACAATCACTATTTAAAATACGTCAACACTACACAAAGATTTTCACTTACATTCAATTGCATGGTTTGAATATTTAAAGCTGTAAACACATGTTAAGGCCATCAGCTAAATAAAACACCTTATGTTGGCTTTACCAGTAAGAGTGAAGATGCCGACTAGCAGGTTGATGTTACGTCCGGCCAGGAGTGTTATCTCCATGCCATCTCCTGTGCACTTCTTCTCCTCTTTTCTGGAGCGCATGGAAGCCCAGATTCCTGTACCCAAAATGAGCAGGTAGAATCCCACCATCACTATTAGACCCGGCACATTGAGAGCCATCCTGGACCACTCCTGTGTGCGTTTCCTGTAGAGAGCGAATTAAAAAACACAACGTAGAAATGTTAGCTGCTGGAAACAGAAGCTTGCAAAGTGGTCATTACCATTGTTGTTGAATGACTGTAACATAATTCAAAGTACACAAATAATGACATGACAGTGCATGTTCTAATTTTCTAAAAATGTTTAATAAAAAGAATTCAAGGACTGCAAGTCAATGGGGGGCAGAGAAGGAATCTTTGCTCAATCTATGGAATCTTCTAAGATGATCCCTATGAACAAAAATGCATACTCATCATGAAGATACAAAACCCACATGAAAAATAATCATTCATGACAATGAATAGAAAACAGTAGCATGTATTCAACTAAATGCACAAAGGAGGGTGAGAGAGCTGGAAAGGGACTCTTTTACGTCTTCTTTAAGAAAAAGAGTGAATGAAGAAAAGGCTGCAGTGACAAAAAGGAGCTCTGCTTTCTCAAGAGAAAGGGTTGATGTGCTTAGAAAGGCTGGAGCGAAGGAGGATGAGATCAAGAAGGTAAATGAGCGAGGGATGGGAAAGTGAAGAGTTGAAGAGACAAAAGGGGTCTCACCATATTACTTTGCGGCACTGACAAAGATGGCGGACAGATGTTGCCCCCCGTCTTCAGTGGTTGGGCGGCCCGAGGTTCCACCCCAAACATCGGGAAGTGAACACAACTCAGAGCCAAGTTAGTGTGTACACATATTTGTGTATGTGAGTGTGGTTGATGTGACTGTACATTGGATGGATAGTTTGAAAAAAACCTTTTCAAAGATAGAACAAGCCTTTGAGTCTATAAAAAGAGTGTTAATCTTCTTTTACCACAGGTTTGCATCCACGTTGCACATTAGCATGGCTAATTTTTGTCTATACTGTATCAACAGTGCTAAGGCAGTCCAGGAGAAGTTAGGGACGTAAGACAGGATTTTTTTATCTGAAATATCACAGTAAGGCAGATTCTTAGTAAACGTTTTCTTTATTACATACAGAAACCCATTTATTGTAAACAAAGCCATCATTGTCATGGTGGAAAACAAGACATGGCCCTTGCCCAAAAGTAGTGGAAAAACACATTTGGTATGCAAAAGATTATGGGGGAAAAAAAGGTAATGGCTCAGATCATAAAACTCGAGGAAAAAAAGAATGTGTGTGTATATCCACTTGGGGAGAATAGAGAGGAAGAAAAAAAAGTGTTTGTGGAAGGAATGGTCTGAAAAATATGGGTTGGAGGCGACTGTGTGTGTGTGTGTGTGTGTGTGTGTTTATGCGAGGCATGGAAGGAATGAGTGAAGTCTTGAGGGAGGGTGGCACTGTGCCAAAGTCAACAAAAGCCTGAAAAGCTCAGTCACGTGGCTCATGTTTTGTTCTCTGTTCTGTATGTTTGTACAATCTGCTGCAGGCCATACATATCAGTCTTTGCAGAGTTAAAACGGCATTACGTTAGATTATAGCACTCATATTTCCCTGTGCAAGACATATAGGTTTCAAAGAAATTGACGATTTGGACATTTGTTTACGATACCTTTGTCCACAAAGAATAGTGAAGAACACAGAAGTAGAAACATAGTCCTCTTTTTGAAGAACTAGAAATTTCTCCTCAACATTTTAAGTACACTTTTTACTCTACAACAAAAGATCAGACAGTGGTTCATGAAAGCGAATATGCAGGACAAAGTTTGACATACATTGAAAACATTCCATAGCTTCAGTGTTTGCGTCAAAGGAAAGTGGAAACCCCTATAGCAGTTCTTTATCTTTGGACACTTTATTGTCAGTTGGACCAGAAAAACTAGCAGCCAGACAATGTTCCACTAAAGCTTGATCAAATAACTGCATGCACAACTGGATAGCAAGCAGAACAACATACACTGTGTGGTAAACAACTGGCAGTAGAGGGTGTTTTTTTTCTGGAAACAAGCCACTTTTTAAATCACCAGTAGTCTATGTACCTCAAAAGGAATAAATAACATCTGGAACTATTCCAGGGAGGGACTAGTAAACATTTTATTGGGTTTGCATGCAACACTAGGCATTGCAGAGTTCCATGTGGGCTATGTATATTGTTTTTTTTCCCAAACAAGGGAACATTGTAAATCAAATGGAAGAAGACATGTGTCACAACAATTTCAGAAAATTTTGCGCCAAAGATATTTGCACTGTGGTAACAAACAGGTTCCTATAATCCGAAGCAATTTGAATCCAGAGGAGGAACACATCGTAAAAAAGTATTTGCGTCAAATATTGCCAAAGCCTGATACTGCTGCCTGATAAGTTCTGGGCAACTTATGGGCAGGAGTTGTGTTTCTGACCACCACATGAATATGTATTCACCTCAACTTTTCAGATATGTCTAAGTACATTTACTTAAGCTTCCTATATGCCTTAATATGGCTGCTAGAAAGCTAGCTTAAGCCTTTTGGTAAACCCCCAAAACCAGGAAGGAGTCAGAACTCTATCAGTCAGTCTCTCTATATTATTAGAAGTTATTAAAGGTCTGCTTTCAATGTGCTCCCAAGGTTTGATCTAAACCAGATCAAGATGTTCTTTGAAAGTTAATGGTAAACTCGTGTTCTCAAGGCTACACAACTTTCACTGAAGTAGTTAGAGAAAGAAGGGTCAATAAAAGACAGTTTTTTGACTCGGGTTTTTAGGCAACTGCTGCCAATTACATCCAGTAAACTTCATAGCCAAAACTGTAAATCATCTAGAGACTTCAGAAACTGAACAAAAAGGTAAAGACTTGTAGGTGTAACACCAGACACCAACACAAGTTTGTAGTCAGGTTTAAAAAAATATAGTATGGAAAAGGCCCAGTTAGGTTACAAACATGCATAGCTACAGGACTCAGGACAATTATATTGCCAAATATATCATTACAAGAGATATTCCTCCCTGGTATACAACTACATGCACACGGGTAAAAAATAACAAGCAAGGTCGGAATTCCAAATAAACAACACTTTCATCTCTTTTGAGGATCAGGATCAGTGTGAGTTGGACATTTTTGCCGCCAACATTATCACTTAATCACATGGTTAAACTTTTAAAGGTGACAAATATTTCTGAAAAAGTCCCCTCACCAGTCTGCTTCCTCAGCACCTGGTAACTTTCCATTGCTGCTCTCGTGTTAACACAAAGCAGGCACATCGAAAAACATTCTTAAGGCTGTGGCTGGCATTCCAGAATATTCCAGCATATCTAAGTACACTTACACTTGACAGACAGCATGAAGAAAATGTCCAAAATGACTTTAAATTTCTTGAGGCAATAAAGTCTTAATTAGTTTTATCAGAATGAAAATACAGCTGACGCCTGCAAAAATGAAAAGCACGTGAGCATCTCATTGTGAGAAATTCCTCCACAGAATGCTTGAACAAATCTAATATTTTAGGAGGTAATGACACAATCATATTTGATAGCTGTTTGCAGGAGGCTGAATGTAACACTTGGCTGTGTTCGCCTGAGATAGCAACAGACTGATGGCCCCTCGTACAGATCAGCTTTTGAAGGTAGTGCTTACTGTCTATTCTCTTCCATACAGGCTCAGCTACACACTTTCTACAAATATAACCCTGCCACCCCTCCTCACCCACACACACACACACAACTCATCGCTGAGCCGCTCAGTACTTTTCCGTTCTCTTATGACAACTGTATGTTTGCCGTTTGCCTTGCAGCGCTCTCCACTCCCTGCAATTAGGCAGATTGTTATCTGAAAGTGTCAGGGCTTTAAGACGAGAGGTTTGGTGCAGTGAAATGTGACCTATGCTCCAGACACAGGTGTAGTGCCTTTCACAGAGCGAAAGAGAGAGAGAGAGAGAGAACCAACACAGGGCTCATGAATTGAAAACATTGGCTTCTACCTCTCTTTTCCTTTGTATTAAAAACCCCCTCCAGTCAATTTCAGTAACTCTACGGAGCTTTGTTCCCTGGAACAGGTCCAACCATGATCTGGAGAATTTCTAAGAAATTCATCCCTCGAGCTTTGACCAGCAGAACAAGAACAAGAACAAATATAATGAAGAGACAGCTAACTGTTTGAACACCACAGTTTGAACTGCTCATTTGGTTAAACAAGTCAAGTATTTACAATAATATCAAGTATTTTCTAAATAATTCTCTATAAGATTTATAGTCTCTTCCAGCCATGTGTCTACTGCTTACGTATTTGTTTATTTAAGAAATGTCAAATGTCACATGCTCGTTGATATATTCAGACACTATCATATCTTCTCCGCTTTTCAGAACAACAGTGTTAGATTAGAGATTCAGAGGAAACCTTGAAACAAAGAAGTGCAGCAGGTGCTTAAAAGATTGGATAGGCACCAAAAGGATTTGTCAAAAGAACATGTTGAGGACTTTCAAGGTGAATCCCTTTGAGAGCAAATTAAAGTTAATCTCTGCTCACTTTGTTCACTAGAGGAGATGTGAAGAGGTGAGTCAGCCCACACGGATGATAAAGAGTGACAAATGTCATTTGCATCATTTAGAGCGAAGAGCAGGAAATACAGAGTGCAAATGACCGAGTCAGACCGAAGTTTTATAACACGTGGTGAGCACAATCATAAGAAACATATACTGGAGCCTAATACTCTGTGAACAGATTAATACAAAACCACATTTTTATGCTCATTAAAGTTAATAAAAAAACACTTTTGACTCATTTAAGTAAAAAAAAAAAAAACCAAACATAACAAGTCAGATTGAGAGTAATACTTTGCGAGATATTTACAGTACAGTCTGAGTATTGTTTCAGCCTCTGTTACTTTCTTCATGCATTGGAAAATTACAGCTTGTCAAAACAGCTGGAAAAGACAGAAAACAAAGATGGACAGCTGAAGCCACACACGGCAAACTAATGGTCCAATTTAGCCACAAGGCAGTGCTGGGACAGGCATGCACTGTCACTATAGCAATGTCCCAGCTTGACCGAGTTTATACAAACTGAAAATGCCCACAAATAAAAAACAAACACTAAGGCAAGTCCAACATGTTAATATAGAATACAAACCTACGCAGAAATAAATTATGACAGGCGACAAAAGTAAGCATACTTAATGATTGAATACATACCTATAGCTTTAACAGTAACAGTCAGTTCTTTGTGATGATGGGAAGAGGCACATAGGGAGTACTCTCTCAAAGGACAGAGGACAGGCCAGATGATTAAATCAGTCCAGGATCAGATGGAGATGTGAGATGCATCCAGTGTTAATAGACTGCCAAGAGATGAAGGGATAGAAGAAAAAACAAAAGATGGTCTCCCTTACACTTTAAATGATTGAGAAAAAAAAAGGTTTTAACCAAGTGCTCCACAGGGATGAGGTTGAGGAGTCAGGGTTAATTTAGTGCTCATTCAGCAGGTACAAAGAGGAAGGATGGAACTCTCTAGAATCAGCACTCAGCCTTCCCCTGGTATTAAACTTCACAAGGTGGGAGGGGCCTTACACGATGCAAAGCAGAGGGAAGCTGTCACTACTTCAACGATGATTGGTGACTGCGAGGGTGCCCCTGTCTGCAGCCTATTAGCTGTGGTCTGAATGTGGGGCGGAACCCAGTCCCTGTTTAGTTTTGGTCCACATGAGGACGCCTTGAGTATAGAGGAGCTCTGTTACCTCAAGCAGTTTGTGATCAGCTCAGTTAACAACTCTTGCTTTCCTCCTGCCCGTTCTCACTCAAGAATCTCTCCTTCATTCACGTCTTGATTCTTATATGTCCAACTGTGCAGATGTTTTATTGCAACTTTTTCTTCTCAACTAATTGAAACTCCTTAGAAAAGACTCACTGCTCCTCTCTATCTCTCACCTACCTGCTGTGTTTCACAGCAACTGAACAGCCAGGATCACAGAAGCCACAAGGATCCTCTGTGCCGTTTTACTAGTGCGCTGGTGTGTGAGTGTGCGTGTACACAAATGCCTCCTTGCCCAGGACTTCCACAAAGCTTTCCTTGTTCTGTCCATATGGTTTAGTGTGTCAAGCATTTTGTAAATAACATGGGAAGAACCAGAGAGAAAGTATGGAGCTGCAGAAGCTGCAGTAAAGAGAAAGGTATTTGGTTTAAAAATAGAAGGGACAAGTGGCTTATCTTTTGCAGAGAGGTACTCCATTTGCAGCACAACAAGATCTAATTCGAAAACGTTTGTAAGTCTGACATGATCTAAAAAGTTATAAAAGGTGCTTTTGTTTTGTCCAGGTTAATCCAAATATGAGGCATTTGTCACACAGTGCCTCAAAGCCAAATATTTCAGACAGTTTTCACATATTCCCACTCAAGTGTTAAAAGACAAACCCATTTATCACATTTCAGCAGACCTGACATTTGTGTGAATACCTCCTCCTCACATATTAACGCTACAAGTGGACTAAACTCAAAGGGGAAAATTCATCATCCAGCTTCAACAAAAACAAAGATAAAATGCATAAACCACCATAATATAAATACATGGTTTTTTTTTGCCAATCAAACTCAAAATCACACATTGACCTATATTTTAAGAGCTGGTAAAGTCCAGCATCCTGTTTTGCCACCTCCTCTCCTGTCAGGCAACACATCTAATCTTGAAATACAAATGTGAAACAGCCTGAATCCCAAAAACATTATTTTCATCACCTTTCTTTTTCTCAAATCAAATTAACAAAGAGAGCTGTGGGGTTCAGAGAGGACGCTGTCTCTTTAAGAGTCCTCTTCCTGTACCAGGAAAAGCTCAGGAACCCCTTTCATTAAGAGTGTGTGTGTGTGTGTGCGTGTGTCTGTGTGTGTGCGAGTGTGTGTGTGAAAAAGTAGATGCTTTATGATTCGGCAGTTCACTTACACACTGCCTCCACGTTGTACTTTTTGTAGCTTGTTTTTGTCTTTTCCTGTTTGCTTATCACTTTGCATCTAGATCTTTACATATTTTCAAGGCCCGTCTCTGTGCCCTCTTCTCTCTCTCTCTTACCCTTTCTAGTTTGTTCTCAGTCACAAACAAAACTGCTCCCCATTAAGTTCCACATGTGTTCATCTTAAACTGTGAGAATCTCTAACCCTCGAAGGTCTGCCTCAGTGTCTGGACACCATAGTCCCAACTGTAGGCAATTTGTTTTTTTACATGCAACATTTAACCAACATAGATTGAGAGTGCGTTTGTTAAGGAATATTATCAATTTATGATGAAGTACCATCATAACAGCCTTTAAAGGACAGTATGGGGGAAGTATTCAAGGTGCAAACTTTCTACAGTTCTTTTAAAATGTATGACTCACTTAAACAGATTATCACACTTGGTGTAATAGGATAGTATGCCTGGTCTTGCATCATCAAAAACAAATCTCTCAGGAAGTAAAAAGCGCTAATATGGTATGGAGTTAGATCAGTCTCAATATTCACAAATGCACACAGAAGGATTCACAAATGTATTTCGCTGCACACATAAATATATTTAATTCTATATAAATATAAATCAAATCCATAAATAAAAAATAAGATTCACAAATGTATTTCTGATTCACAAATATTTATAGTTTTGTATATATGTAATATAAATCCACAAATGTATAATATACATATTTAAAAAACACATTTGTATCTTGTTACATTACAAACTGTTCAGTCTGCATTTACAAACTCTTTGTCATTTGTGAACCACACTGGATTTGTGTGTGGGATTTTTGAGACTCCCCTGCCGTGGTTAGATTCATAGATGCATTGTTTTCAGCAGGGAAATGTCTGTAGCCAATCAGATGTCTCCTTCCTATTCAGCCAATCACAGTAGCGTAGATTCAAGGGTATGTTTTAATGTGATCACTTTTGCGTTGCATCTGCACAGACAGCGATTAGCCATCAGACAATCTGATTAAGTCATCTTTAATCTGACCAGCAAATATTCTCTGTGACTGTCGTACTGTAGATGGAAAGTCCGGGACACAGTGATGGTCAGTGGCTTCACCTGTTCTCAATGAAGATGGAGAATATCGGAAAAACAGATGAGCTGAATCTGAATTACTTTTTCTTCTCTCTCCTTGATCATGCTTGGAGATGAGGATTTGTTGGATGAATGGTAAGAGCATGGTCACACTGGCAATCCCTATCGTGCCCAAGCATGTTTCAACCCTAAAGTCCAGTTCATTTGGCCAGCGTGACTGCTCCGTGCTTTGGCTTTGGCACACTTTGGAGAGGTGTGCTTCGGCGTGGTGCACAAGCACGCAGGTACACAACGCTGACAGCCTTCATTATGAAGAAATCCAGAGTTTCATGTCTGTATCTGACTAATATGACTCCACAAAGTAGCTTTCATGTTCTCTGTTTTGTTCTTCAATTACTTATTTATTATATTATTATTACAATTTATGGCTGTATCTGATAAAAATGACTTAAAACAAATCGCAAATTCAGTAAAGTAGCTGTCATGCTCTCTGTGTTGTACTCCGATATGCAGACGCAGACTCACTGCGCATCCCTTCTTTTTTTTTCTTTTTTTTCTCGAGTCCGCCTGTTTGTAAACTGAGCACGCGCCATAATAACATAAGCATGAATGTGCTGTATTACAACCTTATGTACAAGAGGTAATCATGCCGGCCAGCAGGGGGGCATGGGGCAGCGGGGGGCCAATCATGCTTGAGTACGGCACGGTACGGATTCCCAGTGTGACCGCGCCCTAATTGTCTTTGGTAAGATCTTGGGCTCAGAGGCCCTGGGAGATTGTTTGGCTTCTGTTGTTGTCCGCTCATCAAGGTTTTTGGATATATTAATCTGGAGTGTGTTCAAGAAGTTGGTCATTCGACTGGGTAAGGGAGGCAGAGTACATACTAAAGGTGAGTGGAATAAATGGATGATTCGCTCGAAGAATATTGAACTGATTTCTCTTGCTCTTTGTGTGAGTCTTGGTTCTGTGTGAAATATGAGGGGATAATGCTACTCATGTTAAATTTGGTGATTGCTGTTACAGTACTCTGTACTTTGTACTCTGACGATGCAACACCACTCCTCAAGAGAGGCCAAATGATTGAGAGCTCCCCCTTTGACTGGCTGCACTATAGGCCAGAAACCCTGCCTCCTCCATGTGAACATGACGGGACATGGGTCAAACTATGTAAAATAAATACATGCCAAATACATTTTTCTCAAATCTGTTTTTTTGGTGACAGACGTTTTGTTAAATTAGTTATTTAATGCTATAAAAAAAAGGTATGAAATACAATGTTTGATAGCTCTTTTAATGAATGCAGCTCCTGTGGCACTGTGGGCAGCGGATTAGCAGAGTAAAGGAGAAACTGCCAGAGGAAACATAACAACACGAACACGTGAGTCATTGAACTTCCATAATTGTTAATGTCTTCTTCAAAACAACACAAGTATGTTCTGCCATGGAATGTACCGATCTGGGGGCTGATCATTTCTTCCAGCTGATCCCTATTGCACAGACTCCAAATGCACATTATGTTAGCAAATCACAAGGGTGATTTTGCTTCATCTTTATACAGGGGGAGGAGGTTGAGGCACATTGTCCATCTGTATACATGTATTTTTGAATGCCCATTTCTGGCAGTCCACAAACAAATTTCTTGCTGCTGCTGCATCTCCAAAGCTCACCTAGGAGTTTTTGCCAGTTATCCAATAGGAAACATATGTTCTGAGCCCTGTTGTTATTTTATAGCTGAAATAAAACTAAATTTTGAAGCAACTCCTGCACCAATGAATTTATCACTCAATTATACTTTTAAACTGTAAACAAGACCCAGGCAGTATTTGGATCAAGGACAAGATGATGATTGTGGGGGGCATCAGTGGCGCCAGATTCAGTCTGGCTTACCCTTAGCGAGATGTTGTGTAATAAAGTTTGCACATGCCCAGCACGTTCTGAGAAGAGGTCTGACAAGCTCGATAAGTAAAAACACCTGTGTGGTGTATTTAAATTGTGCAGTGGAATGAAACTTTAGTGTAGTGTTCTTTTTGGTTCTTCAGTTAGAAAAGCATAGTTCTACCTATTGACATTATCACGTACTTTATGTAGAAGTAAGCGTACTATTTTCATATGCCCTTGTACTGGAACGCTGTGGATTGGCACATGTTCAAATATCAAGAATGATGGCCACTGTCCATTTGGGTCAGCGTGTGAGTTGCTACTTTCAGCAGGCACATGTTGTGCAAGAGTTTACTGGCCATGTTTATCTCCTTCCCTTCCCGGCTGGCTGGCTCATCCCCTCACGTATAAAAGTTGTTTAATTAAGAGACTAGAGAAAAGAAGAATAACATACTGTACTCACTGCTTATTTGAATGTATACATAAGTGTTTTTAGATCACGGTCATTTCGGGTAAATTTACATGCAGTGTGAAGATACGAGCATAATAAAGATTGCTAGCATTAGCATGCTAACACAACAATGCAGCGCGAG